TACCAGTTTGGTTGGTTGGTGCATTTTTATATCTTTATCTGAATACAAGAGCAGAGATAAATATTTTCCAAAGTGTAATTTTTTAGAGCTGTTTTCCTCAAGAACTATCATTTCATATTCTGGTAAATATGATGATAAATTTATGAATTAGTAAGTATCTTTATATATTACAGTTTGATGATTGTAATTATTTAATGTGCATTTAACAGATTAGGAAAGGAGCTATCTGACAGATTTTAAACAGTATGCATTTGGAATAATCACTGAGCATGAAGTGCTTCTCGTGGTGTTCCTCTGGGATTGGCATGTTTCATCACTGGAGTAAATATACAGTAATTCGTATTTTCATTTGCACGTGGCACGGGGGATGATGAAATGACGACTCATACAGATTGGCCTGGTTCAGCCACTAAATTGGATCCCCATTTAAAGAAATGTGTCTTCACGAAGCCAGTGCAAGTTAAATGTAAGGCCACACGATGAAGGCTGTACTTACCTGGCAATAAATTGGAAATGGGTTCCTCTGAATTTGCCGGGCACTCTGGACCACATGGGAGCACGGCATGGTGCTAGGGCAAAAAGGCTCAGTGTGGTCCTTGAACGTGTAGGAAAAGGGGCAACCTGTCACGGAATCATTGAGATGGGAGAAGACCCTTAAGATCATCAAGTCCAACCATTCAACCCAACACTGCCAAGTCCACCGCTAAACCATGTCCCTAAGCACCACATCTCCATGTCTTTTAAATATCTCCAGGGATGGGGAATCCCCCACTGCCCTGGGCAGCCTGGCCCAATGCCTGACCACTCTTCCAGGAAAGAAATTTTTTCCCAATACCCATTCTGAACCTCCCCTGGCACAACTTGAGGCCATTGCCTCTCGTCCTATCACTGGTTCCTTGGGAGCAGACACCAACACCTGCCTCACTACACCCTCCTTTCAGGTAGTTGTGGAGAGCGATGAGGTCCCCCCTCAGCCTTTTCTTCTCCAGTGAACAGCCCCAGTTCCTTCAGTTGCTCCTCATCAGACTTGTTCTCCAGACCCCTCCCCAGCCTCGCTGCCCTTCTCTGGACACGCTCCAGCCCCTCAATGTTCTTCTTGGAGTGAGGAGCCCAAAACTGAGCACAGCACTCGAGGTGCGACCTCACCAGTGCTGAGCACAGTGGGATGAGGCAGGGGTTTGACAGTGGCTCTGTCCAGGGCATTTGTGATGCTGCCTTTTGGCAATGCAGCAACTTAGCATCAGTCAGGATCGTAGTCAGTGCAGGAGAGAGCTTCAGGACTCTTTGGAGTCAGATAGTGTAAAGGGAGCTCAGGCTCTGAGGTTGAACCTCTTCTCTGTTACAATAAATTGTAAACTGTTATTGAAGCCACTGGAATATTTAAATTTTATAAGCTAACCTTTGCTCCTAAACAAAAATAAAACAAATGAACAGCAAAACTCCTGAGCCCAGACTCCTAGGCTACTGGCAATAGTGATTTATTTGCCAATGAGTGTGGCCTTTTTGACATCAAGAAACACTCTTACTTAACACGTCTTACAAATACCACAGAGATTTTTGCACATAAACTGATGCGCTTCATATCTAGTAATGGCAGTAGTGTGAAACAAAGAATGCGTGTCAGAGAAAATACAACACTGGAATTTGGCTTAACGCAACTTTTTGTGGCAGCTTTCAAAGCCTGACCAACGTCTTTGCACGCCCTTGTGATTCCCAGCTGCCCGTCCCAGTGTGCTCTGCCTTCTTCTTCGCTGCCACCAACTACGTCGCTGCTGACCACTGTTACTCGCCAGCATCGCCTACAAACGCAAAAGCGATATTCTACGACTGCACACTGAAGGTGGAGAATAATGAAGAACTTTTTAAAGGCCTGGGGAAAAAAGGGATTGATTGAGGATGAAGACGTAGCTTCACGCTTGTGAAGCGTGTCGGCGTGTGAAATGTGGGCACAGAGAGAAAAAGGGGATGGGGGCTGGTTGGCTGATTTTGTTTGTTCTCCTAACTAAAGCAAGAAGTGGGAAACACCCTGCGTACCAAGAGGGATTTTAAAAAGCAGACAGTTTAATCACTTAATAGATCTCACTTTATTGCAATCATGATTTAACAGGAAAGTTTTGCTATTCTGAAAGAGAACAGGTACTTTCTCATAAATTAGATGAAGCACATAATTTTATGTTAAATACAACTGAGATATACTTAAGATTTTTTTAAGGATATGGAGTTTGCAAACTTGAGTATATATAAAACTGAATATGTATAAAACTGAACTGTGTTAAGAGCATAACTGGGAAATAACAGGAAAATTTTCAATACATGATCCTTACTTAAACTGAGAGAACATTAGAGAGTACAAAATTGTGTCACCATATAATTAAAGACCGATGATGCACAGACAATATTTAAGTTGAGGCTACATGTGGAATATTAATTCAGACATTTGCTAACTTTTGAATGTTTCATTTTGCAATGTTAATAATGTTCATTTAGCACATGCTGTCTACTTTGCTTTACAGGATCTAAGAGAGATGTACTTGAAATTAGTTTAAATAGGTAAGAGAACCTATAAATGATTGATGTGCTTTTTTTCCTGTCTAAATGACATAATAGCAAATAATAGTGGGAATATTTTGGCTATATAAGCAGAATCACTCTCTTTATCAGAGCAAAACAATACTTTTCCTGCTTTCATTTCAGTCACTAACGTATTATATGAGGATGAGAATTCTTTTTCTGTGGTTCCCTGAGTCCCAAGTATTTAAAATTCCTAATGACCTATCAAATACAAATGTTATTATTATCAACTTAAATACATATTTTGCATTCTTTAAAAATACAATAGCTTTTCTTTCATCACACCCTGCAACAGGGAATACTCACATTTACTAGGCCATCTCATACACAACAAAACTTTCCTTGGCATTGCTTTCTTACTACAGAAAAATCAAGAGTGCACAAACAGAAACAAATTCAGTATGTGCTGACCACCCTTCATTCTATTAGAGCAGGCTGTTCTGCATGCATGTAAAATATAATAATCAGTCATTAATAAACACTGAACATTTGTATTGAAGGTCTGGTTCCACGACCAACTCAGTCTGAGCATCTTCAGTGGATTAATTGCTATTAGATCATATATCTCAGCTGCAGAAAGGCTAAATGGAAGTTTTAATGTGCTGCAAGCCAGCTCCATCAGTGTAACTTATTCCCTCTAGTCAAGCAACATCAATTTCAGAAGCAGCTATTATCCACGCCCTTTCTTTTAGGGTTCTTTTTTTAATATTATAAATTGCTGTTACAGAAGAATTGGAATTGGAAACGTTGCTAATTAGTACCTTCCTTTTGAAGGCTAAGATTTTAAATTATTCCTGATCTACTACTGAATCTGTTAGAATAAAATCAGGTATCCTCATTCTAAAGCAGCACTTCCTTCTCTTCCCCTGGAAGGGGAAGGGCTAAACTTCCCTGAGAAGCGTGTCTCTTCCCAGACCCTAGCCTGAAATTAATTTGGCACTATACCTCAACAAAGATGCAAGGCAGGAAGAGTAGTTGTTGCTGTACAAATATGCAGTAAGAGCTCTCCAAAACACGTAACTCTGCCACATCCCCAATCCCACGCAGCACAATTATATAGTTCAGCTGCCTCACCAGCCTCAATACCTTTAAAGAACAGCACAGGATTTTTCTCTTTTTCTTAATTAATTAAAAGGACCATCTGATAGAGTATGTGGCACACAATCCTAAATTAGGTTAGAGGATTAGTTTAGAGGATTTATCATGTGTAGTTTGCATGTATTCACAGAATGGAGAACAAAATTCTCATATTAAACTGGGTATAATTTTTAAGGAGATCCATGCTTAGTGTCAGAATCTGATGCCCAGTACATACTTAAACTGCCTTGTCTAATCCTTTGTAAATTCCCCTGCCAACATAACTAGATTTGTGCCACCACTTCCACAGGCATCTTTAGTTGAGGGAACCTCAGGCGCGTTACCAGATCATTTTATACACTGCAGCTGTAGCGGATTTATCAAGCTACTGCAAGCCAACACATGTCAGAGCAGAGCCACGGACACGGTCCGTTCTGCCGAGGGTGGGTTTGGCCCTTCGCAGCATCACTGGCCTGGGAAGCAGCAAGGTGACGCGATCATTTTAAACCTCTGGTCAGTGGTAGCCACTGGAGCTCTGCACAACACCTGAGTACCTGGGCCAATGACTCCGGTCGCTGCGCAAACGAACGTGACCACGAGTGCCACGGTGCTGACGAGGGAGAAGAAGATTTTCCATACGCCTTTCTGTGACCATTTCTATCGAACTAACAAAGACACGGGGAGTGCTAGTATGCTGATTCCGTAAATATAGATATACTACCTTCTGTTTCGAATTTTTCAAGATGTAATTAATTTACACAAAGCAATTTTATTTTTTACAAGACAAGGATAAAGAAGACAAAAATGGGTAGAAGGAATTTGCTTTTTGGTATGTTTTTGTTGAATAACAGATACTTATAATATCAGTTTTATTACAGGATATTAAAATATGTAGGCATAAGCCTTTTTCATGGAAAAACTGTGGTAGTGTTTCAACTCGGTGTAACTTTAGGGTCGCTGCCTCTGGAAACCACAGTGAATTATGGTGTGAGACGGGTAATAAAGAATGCCAAGACAGAAAATACGAAGTTTTAACTTAGTGCAAATCATATAGCCACTCCTGAGGTGGTCACAGGCATCCAGATCAGTCAACCAGGTTGTCAACACGCAACCAGAAGGCATTGGTATTGGAAAAATTCTGCCTAAGAAAAATGCACTGAATCAATGCATCTGACTTACAGGTTCTGCAAGAGGAAGTATTTACAACATAGGAGACACTAACATGTAGGGCTTGTGTATGGCTGTGAAATTTCTTCTTCTTTAGTTGCTGGAAAAAAAGTTTGCGCATTACCAAGGGTAACAGTCAAGATTCAGCCAATGCAACTTGCTGGGAAGCTAGCAGTGAAAACGATTTAAGCAAAGAGCTGATGTGCCTCTACCATAGTTTCCAGAGTTGCTAATAAAGCCTTCATCTGTTCTCCAGGGAAAAAAACAATGTTTGCAGATATTTCTTGAAGAAACTGTGGTAGCTTTTGAAATGTCTCTAGCTCTCTAAAATATGTATCTACTAACCAATCTGCAGAAAACAAGTTTTTTGTCTTACAGATATCACGAGCCATTACCAGAAGTACATTTGAACAAGTTACCTTTCTGAGAGTTAAAGTGAAGGGTGAGGACAGATTATAAACTGAACAAAAATTCAGCAGCATCTTATTAAATAAAATCAACCACAGTTCTCTCTGCTGACTGCAAAAATCTTGTTCTGCGAGCTCACAGAATCTTTCAATGTTCTCTTCTGGATGAACAACATTCAAAAGTTCTTGCTTCACTGGTACAGACTCAACATAATCCAGTGGCAATTTTCCATTGGAGTCCCTCTGCTGTAGAAGGACTGGTCCTGCAGGGAAAATGCAAATATTAATAACAACAGCATGTTCAATTTAGCAGACGAACATGATTTAGGGTTTGTTTTTTGCCAGAAGCTAGGAGTCTGTTTAAATTCCTTTTTGTACTAAGCTATGTTGATGTAACTGATGAGTTATGCATTTGCAATACGATCTAGAACATGTAGAGAGACCCTCTGCAACAGTTTCTTTATGGTACTGTCTTCATTTTCTTTCCAGTTTTGCTAGGTTAAAAGCCAAGGATTATTATATAGAAATTGGAAAGAAATTCAAATGTTGCTTATCCTAAAATTTCACGTAAGGATACATACATTATACAAAAATGTAATGTTATTACTGTTGTAAAATTCCATTAAGTATTTTATAGACCAGGTTATTTGCTGACACTGACTCCAAATTAAATTCACGTTACTATGATGGTCTTTATTTTACTTTTCTGGATGGTGTGGCCCACCTTGTCCTAGCCTAGGCAGCCAGATAAACTACTGAGGTAGGAACCCTAGTCTGCCCTGACAATTGAGTTTTTAAAATTTGGTCTTAACAGACTTCTGAAATGCAAAAATTATTTACTCTAATAAATAGATTTAAAGTAAGTAAATGGGACATGATTTACTTGTTCAGATTATTCTACATTCTTTTGGTATTTCATGTTTATTAGTACGATGGAGCTATTAATATTTAAATAGTTCACAGATGTCTTGGTAAGCTTATGAAAGGCCGCATCAGTAAGAAAAAGTGAAAGCAGTTAACACTCTACAGTTTTTCAAAGAAGAACACATCAGGAATCTTCTTACGTAAATTTGTGTTCCTATGCTAAAGTAATGACGCAATTTTAACTTGAATACATTTTCAGAAATATATTTTAATTACGAAAGGTAATTCACCACATCGCACATCCATACCAGAGGTTTTAAATTTGCTGTGATTAAAGCCGTACTGTTCTACTCCATCACTGATTACAAAATATAACTGAATTCCGCAAGCTGATGGTTTTTTAGAGAAATAAAGCGAGAAAAGTTTTACAGAGATGTGTTCTAAATTATTGAGCTGAGTAAATCCACACTGAGTGGGTAACACATTTTCTACCGTAGTCTTGTCAGCTCGACAGGCCAAAACCCAGAGTGTGACAAAGGCAAAGATAAGGGTACACATAGCCTTACAGTTGCCAGACAACCTAGATGAATGCAAGTGCAAGTAGAGCTCTTCCCCTAGGACAACAGGATCATCCACTACCTATTCTTCACAACAGCCTAGGAAAAATGCACATCTGTCAGTGCGATGCCATTTCCGATTGAGGAGCTGGGCTTACTACAATATTGGCTGTTGCATCACTTAGACCGATTGAACTGAGCCCAGGTATTGGCTTGGCACGTCAGACACATGGTGCAGTAGATATATAAAACACCTGGGAGCCACAGCACTGAAGCTCAGCAAACACAGAGGTGGAACTGCAGAGGAATGTATTGATTATGCACAACAGACACAGAAATAGCCTTTAGGGGGCAGGAGAAGACTGTAAATACAGAGGGTCTCATGCCAAGAATGAAACTAAATTTTGTCTTCTTACCTTAATTAATAGGCCATCTAAATACAGTGCATCCTTCTCCCTCATGGCTATATGCAGAATGATTTTTATTGAAAAAATCTGGACTCAGCACATAATGCACAGACATTAAACTGACACAGTAGGTCAATGGCAAGGATATCTCAAATACTCATTTTAGTAAATGAATTAAAAGAAGGAAGAGTTGAAATCAAAGACCATTCCTCACAGTTGGTTTTTTAAAAAAAAAAAAACATGCTAAGTTAATTATATTGATACAGCATATTTCAAGATGAGACACAAGTTCCCTGTCACTGAACAAAAAATATTGTTCAAAACATTTACCATGTATCTGCCTAAGGGGCAATGTATCTTTTTTTAGAAACTAAGGCATCCCTCCCACTATTATCCCTAAACAGCAGTTATCACAATTACAATATAGATGCCTTTCTTAAACTAATTACCAAGCTAATTGTGTTCTTCAAAGACCATCACGTTAATTTTCATAAATGCTGAACAAATTTATGTTGAAATACATGATTATATAGAGATTTACTGATCTATTTTTGCATCATGTTAAAAATAGATCAAAACAAAAGAAAATCCTTAGCTTTGCTTGTTGACTAGGTAATCTTTATCTTCATTAATGAGTTTGGAGAATATAGTTACAATGCATATGGTGTAAAATGCAGAATAAAAACATTACCATGTTGGAAAAAAATGTGAAAATCCTGGTTAATTTCATATTCAGCTGATCAAGATAAGTGTGAAAACAGTATTATTTTTATTGTGACCAAAACAGCTTGGCTTAAAAATGTTTTAAAATAAATATTTCATAATAACATTGTATTTTAAGCAACTATCAAGAAAAAACACCACAAACTTCACATGGACTCAGAACAGCAGATAATTTCCCTAAACCAGTTTAGCATAAATGCACTCACCCCCATGCTGAAGTAGCAGCTTGCCAATTTCTACATGTCCATTTAACAGTGCATCATGCAAAGGAGTCACCCCGTCCACTTGACTGAGCAGGTCTACCTCTGGACAACGTTGCAAAATTTCACGGACACACACTGTGCTGCCATGGTTACAGGCTTCATGCAAAGGCGTCCAGCCAGCATAGTCTGAATTATAAATCAAGGGAAGTTTTAAAACAGCAGAAGTAGTACTAAAATGTTAATAATGTAGTTCATTAGACGGCAAAACACTTTACTTTTTAGTATTCATCATGGCTACAGTGGCAGTCTGAGATTTCAAAACAAGAAATCCTATTGAAAAACATCTGAAAAAATTAAATAGCGTTTTTAAAAATCAATAGAAAATGTGATGTTAAAACACACTTTAGTTATAAATTAACCTTTCCTCAATATTTGCTATGAAGTCCTCATTTTGTGCTATTTAAAATAATAAAGACATTTTTAATAGCATAAATACAAACTTTACTACCAAACACGTATTAATACAGTTCTTTATCTGCCTTAATTTCTTAGTTCTGTAGAGAAAATGAATAACTTACCTTTAACATTAATGTCTATTCCAGGGTAAGAGAGAAGCTCAATCAATTTCTCCACTTTGTTACTTATGCAAGCTTTATGCAGGGCTGTCTCTCCTACCATAAAAAATTAATAGATTACACTACACTAGGCAAGATAGCAACTAAAGAAAATAATCAAAGTGCCTGGAACTAGGAGACCTGGCTATATGCCAGAAAATTCAATAATGAGTAAGATTTTCCTTTATCCTGTTTAACCATCTTTTAAGAAAATTCAAAAAAAACCCACAGAGCTTCTGTTCCACCAGAGATCCAGCAATGAAATTGTATTGCAAACGGTTTAACACAGGAATTATCTCCCCCCAGTTCAAGGTTTAAAGCTTCAATCGCACTATAAAAGCACCAAGTGATCACAGAACACCAAAAATACTGGGTTTTGAAGCAATAAAACTTTAGAGTGCAGTTGCCCTCCCTTAAATTTATTCATGAACCTACGTTAAAATGTATGGTTCTTTTTACACAGCATTTTTAGCTTAATTCAAATGAATGTTTCTGGCTAAGCACGAGTGCCTCTACACACTCAAGAATAATTCAGAACTTCAAATCCGTTAACAGATGGTTTGCTGTTTCTCAATAGGCTGTCTGACTTGGCTACAGTAGCAAGGGAGGGGGGAAAGAGAGCAATAAATGAAGAGGTCCTAATAATAATAATAATAAAGAAAATACTCAGGAAAAATATCCCATTCCTTAGTACCATGTAAAGCTGAAATAATTGTGAAAAATTGTACAGCAAGCAACTGAGAACTGCTGCTTATATGTAAAGACACCATTGGTTTCTGCATGATAAAAACTTCAGACCCATTCTAAATGCTGTTTTGCTTTCACTAAATGATTAGGTTTGAACAAGAGCCAGAGGACAATCTTGATGCCAGGTGAAAGATGATGCAACAAACATCTTAGAAATGAAAAATATCTCGGGCTAAATCTCTCGGCCTTTGCGGTAAGATCTACATGTTATATTTTGTTATATTAATACCTTCACTGTGTAAATCTGCCAGCTCCATACTCATTCTTTCAACAGAAGATACTACTTACAACTTTGGCAGGGGAAGAATAGAACAGAAAGTAGTTTGTTTTTTGTTTTTTTTCCCCTAGTCCTTCAGCTTACTTTTCTTTGTAGAAGTCAGCATGTAATAATTCACATCAATTTTACTTGCAGAAGCAATAAAGAGAAAGAGAACCAATTTTAAAAATGCATGGTCTGGCTCTGTTACTGAAGGTGTCTGAAATCCCAAAACAGGGTGAGGGTTTTTTTTGTGCTTCAGTGTTTGTGATACAATTCTGGTTTTAATTTTTTAAACAACTCCAGCTTGCTTCTTCCAGTTTTTTCTAAGCCTTCTCTTGGGTGTCATGATTAATATAGCTGTGTTTTAAGTGACATAGGTAAATATATGATGACGAAGATGAGACAAAGTAGTTCGTGCAAGTAGTTCTGTTCAGGTAAAGGCTCTTGTGAAGCACAATTTATTAAATTTGTGTAATAAGTAGGAACCAAATGAATTACTGCAGTGCTGTTTTATTCCTTAGGTAGTTGGGTTCCAGTATAGCTAAGACAAAAGCCAAATGCCTTTCATAGTCTGGGCTGAATGCCTGGAAGAAAACAGTCCATATGCTTAACACAGCTATGTAACATAGCATACTCCTCAGTCTTTGTTCACAAAATGTCTAGGACTGAAAGAGATGAAGACTGAATTATACTTTCAAATCAGAAGACGTTGATCCTACCAAGCACAGGTTGAGGTGGATTAGCAAAGTAAGGCGGGCAAGACTGGAATGAGCTCACACAAGCTGTACACTGTATTTAATATCTGGGTGGGGGAGGGGAATGAAGAAGGCAGCTTTATTACACCATATACGCAATTCCTCCTTCTAAATAGCCATTGGAAAAAAGAAACATGAACCATAAGAAAATAATTCTTGGGTATAACCCATCATTTTAGTTCACTGTTCACCAGGACAAGATTTTAAAACCTGAAACTGTCGATTCTAACCATATAAAGTCCATAACATAAATTACATATATAGAATACCTTTCATATTTCTCCTGTAAATACGTGCATCTTGAGGCAAAAGGCAGCTATTCTTTTTGGTGTATGTAGCCTCAACTTCTGCTTTTCCTCTAAGCTTCCTTGTCAATGGAGGGCACTTTAAATTAACGATTACGTCACTGAAAAGACAGCAAAGAGGACACATCTAAAATCACTATTGCATATTCTAAGATAATGTATATGTAACTTAATGCTTTTAAATGTGTATATACAGCACACTTCGAACTATCCGCTTCAGAGTTATTTCTGAAACGTCTGAATTACATAATTTGTCACTTAATTATAACTGTATTTAAAAGTAATAAAATTTAATTACCCACAATTAAACTTTCTTTAAAGATAATTCTATGAACGGCTCAACTTCTCTATGTACCATTTGAATTTAATATTGGGAAAACATAACTGCATCAGTCTGGATATACACTGAGATGGAGGATGGGGAGAAAGGGGGAACCCCAGCCCACAGGTGTTACAGGTTTACAATGGAGCTTTCTGTCAGTTGCAGTAATTTGTAGACAACAAAGCAGGTCACGTAAAGTTCAAGAAATGTGTCAGGTCAGAAGCTGTCCCCCAAAGCAGAATAAAACTGGTGATGTTATAGGTATTACTTACGGTAGATCAGGCAGCACTTTGACTTGGTTCTGCTTATCACCATTTAGCATCTGTAGTGCCCTTTGAGACTCAGGGCATGGCCATTGCCCTGTTTTCTTTTTCTTTGCTTGGTGTATCTCTCTTGGCTCATGCATCCCTATCTCTCGCAAAGCAGGCAAATAGGAATAGACCTGTTGCAAAAGTAACATTTTCAATGACTTTGTATACAGTAAATTAAAATGCAGTCATTTTCTTCTGTTGCACTTCGTGCAAAGCAGTCATCCACCACCCACAGCTTGCTGTATCTAAGTTTTTAAAAATACGATCGCTAAATGATTGCATATGTAGTTTAAAGTTGTCTTCTGCAATCTTTTTCATATTCTTGTAATTCACTCTTTATGCGGGCCTCAGAGGTGAGTGGCTTGTGTCTGAGCCAGAAAGTGGGAAATTCTAGACCTCTCTCTTGGGCTTTTTGGTAGCTGACAAAACTATGATCACTTTAGCCAGACCTATGACTGAAGGAAAAGTTAATTGATTCTCAGATGCTTAATCGAAGTACTTACAAGCTTCCTGCTCCCAGCCCAGGGAGCAAAACCCAGGGAGTAATTCCATACAGAAATACTCACTCCCCTCCTTCGTCTCTTCTAAGATGAAGGGTTGGGTTAAGCCTTTGAGCACTGCAAAGGCAATCAGCTAGTTATCTCTTAGGTGCTCTTTCATTATAAGGACAGTCTCGGACGTTGCAGGTATTTTGGCGTCTTCCCAGCACTGCAGAGCTTCAAACCCACCTATACTCCTCATTTTAAAGAGTCATACAAGTTTCTGCAGTTTGGCAAAAGCATAGGAAAAAGTCCAGTGAGGGGACTCACTCAAGGATTACACAATGGTTACACCTGAAGAAACATTATTAAAGAAGGCTTTGAGTATCTATCAGACGACTGTAGATTGTGCAGGCAACATGCAATGGATGAGGGACACCTCACCCACACCCTCACTGCACATTACCACCAGAGAGTAGGAGGGCACTATTTGAACCCGTAGAAGAGCCTAGCTGATAACATGCTGTATGAGAACAGCTGGCAAAATTTGACAATAGCTAATATTTATTGTAAGGAATAAGAAAGGAAGAACAGTAATGTTAAGGAAAGCCACAAAAAGCACATGAACTTGTTTCAAACACGACAAAAATTTACATTTAAGTAGCTGCAGAGAGTGATCAGTAGTCATGGCAATACTAAAAATAGCAATTCCAAAAAATCCTGCTGTACATGTGTTGGCAACTTACGTTAAGTATTAGATGTATAGCTGCTTTATTTTTAAAATTCTGACAGTCTTTTGTTCAAGCTCTGTTTAAACATGATGTATTAATAAACAATGATCTCTGTTCACAATAAACTCCTGTAAAATTCACGAAAACTTATGTCTCGAAAATGCATACAGAGGTAATTTTTCTTTGACTCTACCCGCAGAATTCTAGGCCATACAGAAACAGTTATGGATTCCATATTCTGTTAAATTGTTAATACTACGATCAGTGAAATGAGGGTCTAAGTTAGAGCATGTGATTACTGTGTGATCTCCCTGATTTGCTTGCATCCTGTGAGAAGTCATGGCTTTGAGAATTTCTTTCACAGCTTTCATCATGTGTTTCCTCATCAATGATCACAATTTGTGATTTGAAGGCAGGAAAAGGTTTGCAAGCAGAAGAAAGTTCTTAAGAGGACAAATTCACAAGAATATACTGTAGTTCAAAATCATAAAACCTTGTATGTAACAAATACTTGGATCCAGTAGAATAACAGGCTTTCACCTCTTCAAAAAACTTGAAAGAAAAGATATCTCAGGAAAATCACACGCTATACTTGACATTTCCCTTAATTAGAATTTTAACATAGCAATAAAGTATTTACATCAGTCATTATTTTAAAAAACTTTCATTGTGACTTTTCATGTCAACTGCATGTAAATAAATCAATCGGGTGTTACAGATTCTCTGGTAAGAAAAATCTTACCATTGTTTTCAACCCAGATCTTGGGCAAAAATAAATTTAAATGCAGTAGAGTCCATCTACAGGTGGAAGACAATGTATGCAATGAGCATGACCTTCAACCACAATAGAACAACGTTTTCCAAGACTTTCATTAACCCAATTACTTGTAAAATACTTAAGTGTGATAGGTTGTTAGGGAGGAGAAGGGTTACTTACAATTTTCTGAAGAGAAAGAGGTTCTGGAGAAATACTTATATTTCTCTGTAAACACATGTTTTTAAAAACTGCTTCTGCGACAAACATTTGAAGCCAAAGGGATGGTATGGAACAAATGAACATTTTTAATTCACGTATTGAAAAATCTGGATAAAAGCAAAGGGAGAAAAAAAAAAGATCCTTAAAATGAGAATAAAGAAACCTGTACAGCTAAAGTTATCTAGAAGATAGCACTTACAGACTTTTTTTTTCTGCTGTTGCAGATTCAGAAGTCATTCTCCATGAGAATTACTAAAAATACTCATATTAAAAAAGATTTTATACATCATTTGATAATAAGACCAGCTTCTAAGAGAATGGTCACCAGATTTTAAAATGCAAAGCATCACATTTTTGTGAAACTTTAAAAAAAACCAAACAACCTCTAAATACAACGTTATGAAAGTTACACCTTGATTTTGAGAATGAAATTATTTATTTGGGAAGTTATGCAAGTGATTACCTTTAAAATCTGAAAAGTGACTGAATACAAACACAATTGAGATAGAAAGTGTAACACATGAACAAAGAATTCTGCACATAATGCAGGGTGACCTATAAATCCTACATCAGAAGTGACCTTAAGCAAATTTCAACCCCATTCAGATGTACCAAATAGTTCCTGCTGTTTTAAAAAACAGACAGTAGCAGAAGAACGTGTATCTATTTCTATCTCAATATATACCAGGCGTATGTCTGGCCTACCTCTCTTTTTTTTTTGGAAAAGACAAAAAATGACTATTTTTTATTGAAGGCGATACTTGTATTTGGATTCTAGCAAAACAATTTTGTGAAAATAGCAGCTGAAACAGGTGGAAAGCAAGGTCTGTCATGAGGAGCAAAGTCTTCACTGTATTGAGGGAGTATTCTCTTCTGCTGAGAAGTGCATTAACTGATCTGTAGACTCAATCAAAATAGAAAAAAAAGTTTTGAGGGTACAGATGTTTGCTACCCTAAGAATGACAGAATTTAGAAGAACTCTGCAACTGTTTTTCGGGCTTTAAGCACAGTGGACTGAACCAAGTAGCAGTGATCACCAATAGGTTAAAGAATCTTGACTCTTATAACCAGAGTGTGAGTGTTGTTCTTGTGAATGCTCTCAGTGAAGGAGAGTATAGAAATTACAATTTTCCACTTATGTACAGGAAACTATGAAAGTCTTACAGAAGTATATACCCAAGATTCTCCCTATTATATCAAAGCTAGAAAAACTTTTGGAGATGTGGCAATAGTAGCAGATAAAACCTCCACTGATTTAACCAGTATGAAGTTCCACCTGATTTGGCATTTTAAGATCTAAGGCAGACTATCATGGTTCTGATAATTTGCTTTCTGTAAGACTGCAGTGCAACTATTTGTCTAGAGACTAAGATTTCAGTTTAACTGTTTCAGGATAGTTTTTCTCAAGTGTCTAGGTAGGAGAAGGCAACAACACTTTAAATGAAGCCTAGGCACACCTATCTCTAAAGAAGATGACAACTGAAACCAGGATATCCATACAGCTACAAGACATGAGTTACAGTTTTCCAACTATTTCTTAATTGGGGGGTGTGTGGAGCTTTGGTGGGAATAAGTTTGAAAACGAAATTAAAAACATTCAGCAGTTTTCTTGAGATTTTTTTTTTTTTTGAGTTCCTTGTACCCTACCTGCTAAAAGGACAGATACCTCAACCGACATTCCATGTTAAATGATAATGGTTCATTTGAGCTGTGACATTTCTCTTTATCTAGTATATTCAATGAAGAGGAACAATAGCGATTCATGCAACTAGTTGGAATTTTCCCCCAACCCCCAGATAAATTCAGTTAAGTCTAAGGATTTGGAATGAGACACTGAAATGTTTCATCTGAAGTCTGTATGGGTCGAAGAGTATAGCGTAGCTACATGTGGAGTGAAAAATTTAATCTGAGAATTGGCCTGAACTAAGGTGTCTCCAATTGCCTCTCTGAAGTTATGGCTTACTGTGCTATGCTTAAAGCTCTTCCTAAACTGACAACAGAGTTCCAAAGATTTTTTTTGTTCTTCACACTGTGTAGTCTTGCTTTTGCCTGAACACCTATGGAGATTTATTTAGAGGGATTTTAATAGGAAAGCCTATTCTACTTAGTCTTTGCTTGGGACAAACAGACAAGACAGACACATACACACAATAAAACTGAGTTTCCTGTACACATACACATCATACCATAAGATTGCACAGCTGCAACAGAAGGTAAAATACAACTTGAAAGTAAACCAAGGGTTTTAGTTAGGATATTAGAGTATCTGATTAAGACTTTGAGAGGCTTTTCAAACACTCACCATTACATGAAATGGCAATGTACTGTGCCAAATCATCAGCTATTTGACGAAACACATTTCTGTCCATAAGCAAACTTGAGATGATCCAGTATTCCACTACAGTTCCAAGAATTGCATTTAATAGACTGGCTATTTCACACCTGAAAGCCTAAATGAAGAAAAAAAAAAAAAGAGTATCTGGAGACCTGTACTGTATAGCAAATCCAAACTGATAATGTACCAGTAATAACACTAGAGAACCTCTTGAAATAAAAGCCCACTGTGTTGCCACTTCACTTCTTCACTGGCTTTTCTTCTGCTGCTCAAAAGCTAACTGCTGCAGCCAGGTCAACAAAATTGATACGCCATTGATACCACATCAATTAAGATTTGGCACTGGCGAAATAGAAGTTATTTGAAAACATACTGTCTAAACCAACGTGCCAAATGGGATCAAGGCTTACAAGTAAAAAGTGTGATTTCTTTTTAAATCAGGTTTTGTTTAAGTATAAAATTTCAAGTATAGTATTTATGCTAGTTAACCTTGTGTTTCATTTGGCAGTTACAGAATTCTCCCTGTTTTGTTAGAATTCTCTTTTCCTAAAGATTTCATCATGAAATTAAACTCTTCTTGTGACTAAGTGTGTGTGTATGTGCCAAAATGGAAACGGATGCAAGGTGATACTTTCTTGCACAGAAAAAAACACTGGCAGCCAGTTTGTGGGATCAGGAAAATTTCTTCTGCTACCAAAAATTCCTAAGAGACTAGCAGCTGAAAATTTAGAAAGAACTTAATTACAGGTATTAGCCTCACTTTTTTCTCCCCTGAACCTGTGCAAAATGTTCACGTGTAGATAAAAAAGCAAAAGTAAATTTTCTTCAGCAGGCATCAAGACAATACAGTACCGCGAGACAGACAAACATATTCGTCCACCCATGTGAGCACTTCATCAGTATTGTTTGTCTAAAGCACTGCTTCTAATGTCTGAGTTACCCTGTGCAAAGGAAAGTCCAATCTGCCCACTCAACATCTTTCTGTGCCATTTAGAAATATTTTATGTGATGATTCTGAAATAATTCCTCTGACTACACGTACAACCCCAGAAAATTTTTGTCTATTTGTATCAGTATTTGTGTGTCAGTTTTCAAAGTGCAAATTGGAAGAATACATGCACCACCACAGGAACACGTGAAATTCATTTGTCCAAATACACCTACCTAAGGCTCTACCAGAGAATCACTACTGCTGCACTAGAGCACCAGATGATACCTTGCATTCCAGTGAAAGAGAATGAGGACTTCAACATGGACAATTCTGGATAAGAGGGAAATTCAACTGAGTATGTACCTACTTATCTGTCAGCTTGAGATTTTTAAAGAATTACTTAAAGCAAGCAAAACTTTTCTGTCTATTGTGCTCTCATATCACAGTCAATGGCTTGTCTGATACTCCTTTGAGAAAAAAATACGTTCAAGGTTGGTTTAAAATAATTTAGTAGGATTCCCTCAGAAGCTGGAAAGCACCAAAGACTAAAACAGTTTGAGCTTCATCAGTAAATCAAACAGATATATAGAAGTGCAACAGAGACTGGGACATAGATGAGATTTATTACAAAAAGCTTACAAAGCAATTTGTCAAAACCTACATAAATACTGTCCCTACAGTTAACAGATGTACTTGTCATTCAAAAGAAAAGGAATAAACACAACTACAAATAAACATTGTGTAGTATAATTTCCATCACTGAAGTTTTTTTAAGACCTTGACAGGGAAAATGGTAGGAATGTGATCTCTGAGATCACTTCCAGCTCTACTTCCTCTTACTCTAAATTCCAGAATCCCAGCATGGCAGGGGTTGGAAGGGACCTCTGTGGGTCACCCAGCCCAACCCCCTGCCCAAGCAGGGTCACCCAGAGCAGGCTGCACAGCACCGTGTCCAGGCGGGTCTGGAATATCTCCAGAGAAGGAGACTCCACAGCCTCCCTGGGCAGCCTGGGCCAGGGCTCCGTCACCCTCAGAGGGAAGAAGTTCTTCCTCATGTTCAGCTGGAGCTTCCTAAGCTCTACCTGATTTGGTTTGCCCCTTGCTTTACAGTATCATAATAGTTTACTGTAGATGAACTGTGGGATCTCATAATTAAAAAATACTGAGAATGTTGATATGGCATGTCAACAACATGAAAATTATTTATTTCACCTAAAATTTAAATATTTTAAAAGCTACATTACTCCCTATCTTCTGAGGAATAGAAAGTGAAGAACTAATTTAAAACATCTAAAATGTATTTAAATTTTCCTGAAGTATGCATACGTCTTTTATCATTGGACCCCAAAGCAAAATACTGGGTGAATAATTCCATCAATAGTTCTTTGTGGGAAATAAATTACACAAATGCAGCAAATAAGCACAATTTTAACGGAGGTAAGTGACACAATCAAGGACATATAGATGTAATCTGAGGTAGGTACAGATGCAAAGCACAAGTATTTACACTCTTTTTCTTGTTTCTAAATCACAAGCTTATATTACTTCATCTATGAAATATTTTCAAGGAAAGGGATGGGGAGCGAAAGGTGACTGAGGCAGCGGATTGAAATGATGACTGTTAATGCTGCAAGTACTAATAATATTTCACAGTCTGATGTACAGCTCCACATTAAATGTGTCTGATACATTAGTTGCAACTGCATTTGTTCAGCTAAGGATCTCTGCACACTGACAAAGACAAACCAGACACTGCCAACTGGTGTTGGCTTGGTTGACATTTTGGTAAAACAACAGTAGCACAAACTAAGAGCTTCTCCTTCATATTTTTAAATATATAGTCAATGCTATAAATGAGGATGCAATGGTCTAATTTACTGGAAATATCATCTGTTCTAAAAATATTTAAATATTAACATCTTAAAAATATTTTCATTTTCAACCACAAAACAACATAAACATTGTAATGAAACCACATGCAATATTAAAGAGGAAAAAGAAATGGGAATTGCTACCATGTATGACAAAACATCACTGTGCACTTAAATAGCTTCTGCTATCAAACTCCAGAGGCTAAATCTTAAAAAGAAAAATCTCTTCTACTGTTTTACACCTCTACTGCTGGTTTAAAGGTGCAGTTTTTCTGAAGTTTAGATGATATTTTTTATTAGCAAACTAACATAAAGGGAAAACTACCAACAAACTAAAACGTTTCAGCAACAATATTTTTAGAATGTAAGAACAAAGTCTTACAAAGCTAAGTGATCTCTGTACATTAATCAGTGAAAAAGTAAATGCACAGGAGCCACCAGATACTTTCATAGACATAGGAAAGCAACAGTCAGAATGTTGTATGGAAACTCTTATTCCTGGGTATGAAATAACAAGTTACCCATACAAATAATATGAATTGTTATTTTATTAATAAATGCAATTTTGGACTAAGTAAAAACACATTTAAATGAAATGGTTTTGTTTACACTGTAATCTAGATAATGGTGTGACTACTGGTCATCGGAACACAAGCCTTCAATTAACAAAAGCTGAGAATACTCAGAAACCACTGACTTTGGTTCTACCATTCACTACTTCAATCAAACTTGAATCTGATTTAAACAGTTTGTATTTTTATAAATTGGCAAACAATAACATGATTTTTTAAGGTATATTATAAGCTACTCAAGTCTCTCTCTCTTCATCATAAATAAACTATTTTTTAAATTCCTAAAAATAATGTACTACTACAAAATGTAGTATAAAAAAAAAGAAAAGATTCTTAATAGAACTGCAGTATTATTTTTCCTTATGAACCCAAGTGTACTGGGTCTGCCTGGGATGGAATTAATTTTCTTCATAGCAGCCTGTGCTGTGTTTTGAATTTGTGCCTCAAATGGTGTTGATAACACACAGATGTTTTAGCCATTGCTGAGCAGTGCTTGCACAGCACCAAGGCCTTTTCTTTTTCCCACTCTGCAAGTGGGCTGAGGCTGTGCGAGCAGCTGGGAGGGGACACAGCTGGGACAGCTGACTCAACACAGCCACAGGGCTGTTCCATGCCGTATAAACGCCGTGCTCAGCAATAAAAGCTGGGGAGAGGAGGAGGAAGGGGGACGTTCGAGGTGATGGCATTTGCCTTGCCAAGCAACCACTACATGTGATGAAGCCCTGCTTTCCAGGAAGCTGCCAGACATCTGCCTGTGGGCAGTAGTAAATAAATTCCTTAGTTTGCTTTGCTTGTGCGCACAGCTTTGCTTCAGTTATTAAACCGTCTGTATCTTGACCCATGTGTTTTCTAGTTTTTGCCCTTCCGATTCCCCCTACCCCTCATCCCGCTGTGGGGTCGGTGAGCGAGCGGATGGGTGGGGACTTACCTGTCAGCTGGGGTCACCCCACTACACCAAGCACAGCAAATTAAGTAAGATCCAGTTAAAAACTCTCTCCCTGATTCTTATCGTTAAGAATCAAAGCTATCTCACCAAGAAAATCACCGAGGTGGGAAGAGGCTGTTGACTGTGTTAGCTTACAAAGGTCACATCAGTACAGCGGATGCCTGCCAGGTTAGCAAATGCAATTCCTACATTGCTGTTCCATTTAATGCTTTGCCAAGTCAAGTACAGTGTTATAGCGACAGAAGTTTCACAGCGTGTTTTAGAACACAGAAAAGTTCTTATAGGAATGCTTTTAAGTCATAGCAAAATAAATTTTAACTTTTAAACTTTGAATTACAGAGTTATTTTAGATTTGTTCTTTAGAGTTCTTTTTCACGTGGTGTAAATGTTTTTAGGGTTATGCAGTACTCCAAAAATGCCTAAAACATACTTCCTAGAAAGCTATTGGAAATGACAGATGGACCAGAAAGACGTTTAGCTCTACAAATCTACACCACACAAATTTATACCAGGTAATGATACCCGAAACATGGAAGAAAACGAATTTGAAATATGCAAGATGATGCAACTAAAAAATGGAATGAAAGCCTTTTTTACTCTTTTGCTGGGCTACGTAAGACAGCTTTTTTTAAAAGAACACCACTAGTATCAGGGATGAAAAGCATTTCTGACCATCTGTGACATTGTGAAAAGCCACTGAATAGCTCAGTGCTACTCAAAGTGCTATAAGCAACATGCAATTCCTTTGTAAATACTAAAATGGAGTTAACAGCTTTGATTCAAGGAACCTTGACCACAAGTTTCTGCATCAAAACTACTTAAATAATATAATTAATAATAAATGTTACTTATATTAAAATTATATTCAGTACTGTTTTGAAGATCTCAAGTGGTGGAAAAACTTCTGTATTTTTTGGCAGTGCATTTTTAACTACAGGGATAGTGTATCAGTTTTATTCCACCGAGTTGTCCCAGCAGATTAACACAGTGATGAACAAGGGCATCCAATTTCCTATCACTAATTTTATTCTGGTACTTCTAAGATAAAATAAATTCTATCTAACACAAGAAACCAAATGCAGTCATATATGTAACTAGTGTCGTTATAGTTTATTCTTGCTTTTTCTTTTTTTTCTGATGTACTTTATAATAGGCCTAAAAAGTAAAATACTTTAGGAATATGTAAGCCAAGGAAACCAGTAACTCAGAATTTTGGCGTGCACACACACACACACATTTACACACATACATATATATATAAAACACATAATTTGGCAACAAATCAGCACAGAACAGAGGAAACATATACAGATATTCTCCCCCCACTCTAGTGCTGATTTGTCATAATTTGTGACAAAATTATGACTCTTTTTGAATCACAAAAAAGACAATCTGTTTCTAAGAAGGTAAAAAAAAAATAACTAATGGCCCAGTTTTACCACGTTGAAAAGAATGTGTTAGATATGCCTCAGAAAAGAAGTTAGTTAAATTACTGACCCATGTTTTTATTTACAGGTATTTTCACTGGAGAATTGCATGGAAGTTTGGTATATCACAATCTGCATGTTTGCTTCTTCTCATGAGCTAACATGCACGTGTAAGATGCTCACCCCTTTACACCATGTTATAAAACACTTAATTTCTGTGCCCATGCAGATAGTAAGAATACCCAAAGTCATTCCTCTCATTTAGGTTTCCAAACGGCCTTACATGTTCCTTGCCAACGTGTTGCCTCCTAAACAAACAGCTTTTAAAAAACTCAACTGATAACAATGACTCACACCCTTGAACTGAAGACAGGAAAGGAAAACGTTGCACAGAATACGCTATATTTAACGATGTGGAAATACTGTGGTTTTACTTATGCATCTCTAAAATAATAAAAAAAGAAGGAGAAAAGAAAACACAGTTCTGCCTGCATAGCTGGGGATCTGCTCCTCTGGCTTTCTGAATGACCTTTTCAGCTATTTCATGGAATTTTAAATGGAGTCCTGAATATACAGAAAAAACAGCACATCAAGTTTTAGTATAGCAAAACTGAGAGTGCAGAAAAGGATAATGACAATTTTTGAATGTAAAAATACGGTATTTTGTGTTAAGAGTTTATTTTTGCCAAAAAAATTCAAAGGGAAAGAAAATGTAATACATAAACATGAAGTTAAATAGCAAGGAAAAGTGTAAGAAAGAGTAAGAAAGAACATACAACACTAGAGATATGATGAGGCAACAAGCTGCTTTTTAAGGCTAGAATTCATATCTGCAGGGATATTGTACACTACAGTGCACAAGATCAAAGTGGGAAAGCAATAGGCACCTGGGTTTTGTGCTGAAAGTACAATTCTTATATATATGTACATAAAGAAAACAATCTAAACAAGGCGTAGGTCTGTTTTATGTTTTATTCGTTCTTTTAAGTTTATTTTTTATATATGTACTACACTGTGTCTGACACAAGTGATTATTCTGCTTATGCAAAGAACGCTTTATGAAAAAGATATGGCTTACAGTGCTAGAACTTGTCAAAAGAAGGCACAGTAGAAAAAAGAAAATGGTGCCTACACTTAAACGGCAGATTCAACACTGGGAAACCTATGAAAGCTGTCTCATTTTCCAAAGAAACAGAATGGCCACTGACACCAACTGAATGCAAGCCTGCTTGGTGCTCAGTACCTTTGAAAAGGTAGGTTGTTTAAATACAAATATGGGTATAGAAGCCTAATTTTAGGCACTTTTTTTAATATCTTGACCAAGGATAAAAGGCAGCACTGTATCAGAATGTCTTGCTTTGATAGCCCTCAAAAAAGGTAGGAGGTCTGGCTAGGTAAGATGAGTGAAGCTCTCATTATGTTTAATCTTTCTGCTTTCTTAACATAATGAAGAACTACCAGGTATTATACTGAAAGCGCTTTTTTCTCTGGAATACTTGATTTTCTATTGTTGTTCTGTTTTTGTATTGAAAAAGTGAATGAAGTACCTATTTATTCCGTGCTTTCATAATTTAAAAGAGAACACAGAGACAGCAGTAAGTTTGTATTTTATGTGAGAATCTAGAAGTCAAAGATGCTTTACAAGGCCTCTACCTTCTGAAAAGAAAGAGGTGGTATAGAGGACACTCAGTATCTTTCAGGTCAACGTCCTGCTGGTCAGCAGGTCACAGAACAGCAATTAAGTTGCCATCAATTCCATTTTTATGAAAAGATCTAGGAAAGATACCAAATGAAACTAAAGGCCTGGGGAAGAAAACTGGGACATTTATTTTAATAAAATAATGCATATCTGTAGAAAACAGAAAAAAACTATTAGTTTTGTTAGCTTTCTCCTTCCAATGCTTCCTGACTACAATCACTGTAAAGTAAGATAATCACCTCTTTCGTTACACCTTATTGTTTGACAGGATGTGTTAAGCTGGTGTCCCTAATGACTACAGTAATACCTGCTGGTAAGGGCATATGAACATCTGAATGTAGCCAACAAGCTACTCATGACTCGTTTCTTCTCTACAGATCAATATGAGAATCTTATGGATCAATTCATTTCCTTTAGTGGAGCAAAAACCAGCATGCTTCACAACAAAAGGCAGCTATAACAAGCAGCTGTGATACTTACCTATAATTCCTCACAAAGGAATGAACAAAGGAACGCCTTTAAAAAAAATATGTCGGTCTTCATTATTTTGAAGTATAAAACTCATACTCACATCATTTTTTCTGTTCAATTCTCTATGGGAAAGTATGACCCAATCTGCTAGAATATTTATGTGTTTGGTAAAAAGCACGGAGGTTTCGCTTCCCAGCCAAAAGGTCTTCAGAAGAACTGACTGTGGCATGACTTGCTGATGCTGTGAAATGGTCCCTTCAACCAAACTGTAGAAAAAGAAAGTGAAAAAACCTAAATCTTTATGCCACTTTGATTACAATAGTTACCTGATTACAACAGTTACCAGACACAAACCTTATCTTCTGTCAAAACACACACAGGTTTTGCAATTTTTAAGTATGTAAAGATCAGGCACAATTTCTGATGAATAACAAGTAAAATAATGATGACTATTACAGTCAGACTGAAGGAATTCTAATATTGTGCTAATATTACAGAATCACAGAATGGTAGGGGTTGGAAGGGACCTTTGTGGGTCACCTAGTCCAACCCTCGAACCCTTTACATGAAGTAAAGGCTGCTTTTATTATATAAACGCAGAGCAAACCAAAGACTTTTTTTATACTTCATAAACTAAGGAAAGGCAATTGTGTTCCTAGCAAAAGATAACAGTTAATTGAATGTAAATAAAAAAAAAAAATCACTATGTTCAAAATGCTGCTTGTCCACCTTAAAGAATGAATAGTGAAGCACTGCAAAGCAAACAATACAAATTTATGAGCAAAATTAAATGCTTACTGAAATTTGCAATATAAGGAAATAATAGGCTGGGAAAAGTTAGAGGCCTTAAAACATGATCAGAAAAAAACTTATACAAATTCCAGTACGGAAACTAATAATTGGGAAATATAAAAGGAAATGCTAAACGGCTGTCTCTGTAGAACAGTATCTTATTAGGGACATACAATAATCAGGATACAACCTGCTGTAGATATAGAAATGCATGTGAAATTGTGAAAAAGCAATAAGAAAGTATTGTCCTATAAAACCCACCTTTTTGTCAGAAACTCTACTTCAGCTTTTACTAACTCAAAGAAAAACTTCAATAATGTTTTGTGAACTACCCTCTGTTCATCTCCTTTCTCTGAAACTGGGACTGCGTGACAAATGGTTTTGCAATAAAGGCAAGACCTGAAAAATAAACACCGAAAAATCCATTTGTATGACAGAAATCATAGTCTGATCTATCGGCAAAAAAATCAGCTTTGACTTCTGACGAGTTTGACAAGGAAATGCCTTGCTCCCCAGCAACATTCATTGTTTTAATGCCTAACTTTCTGGTTTCTAAGCTGTATGTTCCAAAAAAAATTAACATGTTTGTGGCTGGCGCTTTGTGTTGTAGATGAAGATTTTGAATTATAGTGTACACTAAATAATTTAACCATATCTCATTTTGCTGTCTCTACTTGAGGTACTGTACAATTACTGAATTTAACAAAACTTCTTTAAAACCCTTTAATTAGCAGGTAGTCTTGTAATATTTTATAGACATTGTAACATACTACAAACCTTAGTTCAGGTAACAGTTCACACATGCTATTTCACAAGACTACACTTTGCAATGAAGTCTAATGATTTTCTAACATGATGGAGATAATTTTGAAATCAAGTGTGAACACATTTTTTCTGCTAGAATTTTCAGTATTGAACCACCATGTACACAACTGCTGGGTATTCACATTCTGCCAGTAAGTACTAAAAGATAAAAAACTTTATCTAAAAGATAAACTCTTTTCCATTCTATGTGACATGTTCCTAATAAAAACTAATCAATGTCCAATTGCAGTGATTCAAGTACAGTGATTCAATGCTCTTCAAGACTATAGACATGCTTACAATCACACACTTTCATATATATGTAACCACGGTTCTATCAAAGTATTTAAATGTTACTTAAGATTTCATGACAGTAATAAGAAGAGGTACTGTTCCTCTTCCAAATGAATGGAAGAATTAATTTCTATTGATGTAAATCAGAAAAAATGAGTTTTTGACCAACTACCCAAAGAGCTCCTATGTACTGAGTCTTGTATTTGTAGATGTACAGGATATAATCAGACTTCATGAAAAAGATGGTAAAGTTTATGATTAAAATCAAAATACAACATAAAGCTTCATGTTTAGTAAGATAAGACTGGAATTCACTTCATAACTGCAGATATATATGCGTGTATATATAGACACACACACCAGATCATAGATTATACTGATTTGTGGAAAGCTTAAAAACAAAAAATTTCCAACCCTCCTCCCCTCTCCCTGTGTTTGGAGTAACATAACAACTATTGCATCCAACATCTCATTAAACTTTCTTACTTTACAAGCATCTCTATCAAGGACCATGTGCCTTTCTTGCAGACAGGACACTGAAGAAGATCCAAATAATAGTTTAACATAGATGAGGACTTCCAAGGAGGATCACGTTGGAGAACAAGATACAAAATGTGATGAAGTCTAGCATAAACTATTGCATCAGTGTTTCCCTGTAATAAAATGTGAAAATAATGTTGGATCCATACTGGCCAAAGATCCATAACCTTCATTCCTCACAAACTGAAGTGACCAAATTTAATCAGTGAAATAACATGCAATTTAATGTGTAACTCAGTTTAGGAAAAAAGGAAACAAGGAGAGCGTACTCTAGTGTGCTATTACACCTGAAAGCATCACTACTTAGGACAAACCTGCTTCTCAATTGAGCTCTCTACGCATGCCTACCAGGTTAAAAAAAAAGTCACACAAGAGATGTTTCTAAAAGCAACAACAAAAAAATATCTGGACCAATTCTTCCACAATATTTAGAGCACTACACTCATATGGCTTGCAAATAAATAAAATTTTAAAAAATAGTTATGTATTAAACTCTTCCCTTTTTAACACAAACATATTGATGAACATAAAGGTGAAGGGTGAATATATCACTAAAAAACACTAAACACAATGTCAGAAGCAAAGATCATAATACTTTCATTTCTTGCTTTAATATTTATAATACTTTAGCCTTCATCTCTCACCAACAGGACGTATTCTAGAAGAGAATGAAGAAGTTGCACAGGAGGTGTAGAGTACTTTTGACCTGCAGCAAGTTCTGCGATTACATCAGGAAATAAATACTCTTCTACTAATCCTTCAAGTATATACAATGTGCCTCTGGACAGGCCAGTATTTTCAACCTAGGAATAAGATATCTCTGTAAGTAAAAGAACAGTCTAATGAGAAAAACCTTACAAGAACTAACAGTAAATCTAAGTAAAACGTTGGTAACATTGGTAATATAATAAAATAGGGAGGCAATTATAAATTAAACCAGAAATATTACTTATTGCCTGATCCAACAAGCTGCTGTCATCTAGAAAGGCCTTCACTCTTACTGAACCGGGGTTTCATTGAAAAGATAGTAGGTTTCAGAAAGAGCTCCTGTTCTTAGAAGATCTGAATACACCCACCCTTTTGAAAAACAAATTACGATTCACACACTCAGTAACTTGTCTATAATTTATTGTAGAAAGATACTCAAAGAAGTGTCAATATTTCCAAAAGTGCAGAAGAATACAACCCACAGTATATGACTGGGGCAGTAAGATAATTAGTACCACTGAACAGCTAAAAAAATTCGAGAAAAATGTAAAATTGCGAAACACATCATTTACAAGTACACATTATAAAGCCATAAACCACATAACTGTTTCATCTCACTAGCTCTCCTGTTCCCATATAGCACATCACAGAAGCAGTTAATGCTACAGATAGCACAGGTATTGATCCCAGTGGATTTCAGAGCTCTGAAGATCTTAATGGCACAGGGCTTCCTTCTTATTCTCTGCCACTCATGACAGCAAAATACTTAACTTCGCAAGCTTTCAGAGGACCTAAAAGGATCTAATGGCTTTCATGAAATGCTCTATATGCCCTGCAATTTCCTTGTTATCGTCTGTACCCTCAGCTGTCCAAACCTTTATTTCCACAGAGTAATGATACAAAAGAGGAGCTTTTGAAGACCTCACCTACATTGCTGTCTACTTCTCTAGTCCAGGTTCAAGGCAAAGCTAAGATGCACGAACCAGTTGCAACTATATTGCTCACTGAAGCATAGCTTCCTTCTGCCTGGCAACTTCTGTTTTGAAATCCAGCTATTTTGTTTGAACACACAGCCTGATCCTCTGGTGAAAATAAAAAAACTAGGATAGGTGTCACAACTGAGAGAAGCAGAGTCAAGAACATCACAACTGGACTGCTGGGAATTAAAGAGTCAACATAAATTAACTGTTGCTTTAGTCCCTAACAACTTGTAGACTTTATAGTCCCTGCCAAAAAAGCTGGCTCCTAATGCACATTAGATATAGCTACTCAAGACATCCTACCAACTGCTTTAAAATTAGTTAAAATTTAAATTAATGCAGACTTTGAGTCCAGCTGTGGTTTTGAGGTCTACAGAGTATGCTGCTGTTAGTGAGATAGTTTCCAACAATGTTTCAGTAATAAACCAAAACCATTAAAAGCTCAGGTCAAACCTGAAAAACCTTCTGAAAGAAATGATAATCATAGTTAAATCTCCGCTATAATTTCAGTGAATGAGCTCCACTCTAGTAGATATTTAGTTTCTCTGCAATTGTTTCATTTCTCAGATTCCTAATGTATGGTGTTGTTAGATTAACAATAAATAAACCTGCTCATGGAGACAATTTTCTTTTAATCAAGTCTTTGTGCGTCTGGCATTTGCAGCTCACATTTGTTTCAATTTTCTCATTCATACATGCACTATTAAAATTGTCACATTATTTCCTCTGGAAATAATGGTTGCACTCATACTTCTGTAATGTTAATTATATGCAAACAACACATCTAAAGAGCAATCATAAACTGCTTAATGGCAGTCAAAGAACAACTTCTCTGTCGCCTGGATTTAAGATGTGTGAAGATGACTCAGTATATTCTGCATGTACAAGCATGTTGCTGCTGGCCCTCATCTGGTGATTGTACCAGCATCCGTCTTTTTATATTGTGATCAAAACTTTCATCTCTCAAAAATTCTGGTACTAGAAGAAACAGCAACATTGACACATTATTTGGAAAGTACACTGAAACAAAGCTGTTGTACCAGGTTTGGTTAAAACAGAACCGATTATCTTTCAGTGATTTTTCCTTACAGCTAAGTTCTTCCAAGTAGCTGCACTCTTCTGAAGCTGGCTGCATATTTTACAGACAGTGTCTGTTCCAAAGCTGATAACACCTAATGTTTATATTTATACTGAGCTAGCCGTAGGAACGGAAGGCAGAAAAAGGCCCCTGCTTGTAATTATTACCATAGCAGCCAAGGTCACCAACAGATCTCTGAGGTCCCGCAAGCAAGGAGTCAAGGGAGGGGCGGACAGGACAGGTGACCCGGTATGGACCAACGAGGTATTCCATGCCGTGCACGTCATACTCAGTTTAAAGCTGGGGGATCACGAGGGGCTCGCTCTCTTTGTCCATGGCCGCCTTCTGAAGAGGACCCTGCTCCTTGTCCTGCCTGCGATCCTGATCCAGATTCCGACCTGTGCGTTCCTGAGTCCAGTCCCCGTCTACTGGGGAGTCCAGTCTGGGACTTCCTGGTGCTGCTTGGCAGCCGCTGCACCCTTCTCCGGGATACTCGGTATCAGTCTTGTGTAATTTATTTCTCTTACTATTAATATTACTAGTGTCATTAGTAAATCTGTTTTAACAGTCCACGTGTAAGTCTCTCTCCCTCTTTCTCCTTCTCCCCTTCCCGTGGTGGGAGGGCAGGGGTGAACAGGGAACATGTGCCACTCTGCTCACTGCCGCCCTGCTCTCAACCCGTTTTGGGGGAGTGTGGGGCCTTTCGCATCATGTTCAAGATGAGGAGGAACTGGAGAACCAGTTTTCTGCTTATTTGTAAGGGGTAAGGGAGGATGATGGAGAACCGAGGCCACAAAGCTTTTTTCAGTATCGGGAGATACCTACTGTAGGTCTTCAATACCCGACAAGCTGCACAAAGCTGCGCTGGCTTGCATTCTGGCTGGTGAGGAACCAGCAGTTTCTTGTGAAGCACTGCTGCAGCAGTGCTTCTGAGTTGATTAAAACCTTTGAGTAGAAACAAATGAAAAATGAAGGTCCACAGACAATAAGTTGTGTTTTATACAGCATAATGTGGAAGAGCAGCTGACAAAAGAGAAGTAAGCATTTTAGGGAAGATGATAGATAACAGAACACTTAGCTGAGTTAAGCCTTCCTAGCAGATGCAAACTCAGATGACTGAATACAGTATGTAATTCTAATCTGTTAATTTAGTACATAGGTTTTATTTTACTTCACTAGTGCTATTGGAAATGTTCATCGGAGCTGTTTTTAAAAGCCATAAATATAGTGCCTATAAAAATCCTGTATCAGCAATAAGAGACAGTGGCAGAGTACATGAAAGAAAACTATTAGAATAAGGCTTAAGATTCTTTAAAAAAAAATTATATTCTTAAGAGTACAGAATAACAATTACAGCTTTTGAATGTTAAGAAAGCTAAAGTTTTTCTCCCATAAATTCAATAAACTACACATTAACATTAAATTTCAGTGCAAATCTGTTCAGTAACAGAAATCCAAACAGCATTTTGCCCATTAACGGTAGTGTTGGACGATGACAAAGGCGTTTTAGTGCTCCTGTTTTAAAAATATTTTTCTCCTCCCTTCCTTATTGTGTCAGTAGAAACAAATCAGGTAAAAAGAGATTTCTGTGAAGCCTGAGAGCTCATTTTGTCAGACTGGGACCTCAGCTATATATCAAGCAACTATTTATGTAGTACAGCTCACAAAGATACCAAATCTTCAGCTATCGAGAAATACAGGAAGCTAATAGATTTTCTTTAAGTGTTTCCCATTTTAACTGTCAAATAACACAAGTTACCATATAAAGTACAGAAGCTCATAGCTACTACGTATAATGCTTTTTAAGTACCAAGAAGTAAAGTTTCAACAACGTTTAAAGCTTTATTCTTATTATTATAGATAGAAAAGGGAAAGTTTTGAAAGTAATTATTTACTGAGGATATAACGAAGACTTAATAAAACCTGTTGCTGACTGTACTTGATTTATGGCATATATTTGGCTTAATGGGAAGAAAAATGAGATAGTAACTAAATAATACAAAAAAAGAAATTAAGTCAAAGTAATTATGAAAACAGGACTGGAGAACATAATGTATTCTGCTTGTAATCTGTGCTTCAGTAGACTCTGAAACCTGCAGGAAAGGCATATTCTGCAAGAACAACTACCATTTCTTTCTGCAGTGAGACAACCTTTAGCTAAGTCTGTCCCTACTACAAAAACAGGTGAGCACTGCAAAAAGATGTGCACACATTCACTTTATTGCTACTGCATAAGCAGAGTGCTTGAATAATTTAAGATGCTCTAAATCACATTAGGGCATCTTTGCTTCTTTTCTTCTAACATTAACGGGTAAAGTTCTCTTAACCAGCAGGACTAAGGAGTTTCTTTGTAATAAAGGGGACAGTACTGAAAGCGTTATAAGAACACACAAAATTGAACAATAACCCAGTGATGTTCTATAACTCTCAATACTTTTTATCAGAGTTATGGATAACATAAATATTTTTAAAAGTCTCTTTGATAGCTAACTTCACTATGAAAGTATGTTTGCCTAACTTCACAATAAAATTCCATACATGCAACATGCCCTCTTTGTGACAATCCTTACCTCTTGATTGCATTTATTCAGCTGGTCCTTTTGAGCTAACCTATGCTTAACAGCCTGTAAAACAGGATAAAGTCAACCAGTACACTGGATACCAATAAACATATTCAATAAATACTGTATAAAACGCCCAAAATGGCAACTTTTGTTAAACACAGTTTAACAGTTCAAGCAAAGCATTCAACACAGCAATCTATTTATATTTATCTTCTTAATAACTGGATGACAAAATCATGAAATAGAGGATTAGTGACCTAAAAAGAAAAGAATATGGGCAATTTTTCTCCCCATTTTTCCTGTTACTCTCTCCTTCTTGTTTACGTGGTTGCTATGTAACAACAGTTTTATTAGATTTAACCACATAAAAAAATATTAAGTGTTTTCAGTGTTTCTATGGCAAAATGCGAACTTTGGATTCCTCTTGCAAGTTACCTGTAATGTGAAGATATGGAAGCAGGTGCAAAAATGCATTATTACTATTGCTATACTTAGTTACGGCCTAGTGTTACAATTTCACTAACACATGTTACCAAAAGAGTCTTTTAGGAGAGATTGTCTTTAGGTTTATGATTAACTCCATCTGCACGTAATGACATAATAGTTTGAGGGAGAGATAATCTGATAATAAGTGCACTTGTTGTGTGTAGTAGACATGAAAAGTCAGAGACATTTATTTTTTAAAGGTCTGGAGGGCATAGCCTTGATAAGATGTCACTGATAGAAGATGTAGCATTTGAACATGTATAGGTTTAAGCAGCATGATTATTAATCTTACGTTTAAACACTGTGTACATTGAGGACTTAAAAATTCTAATTCTTTTGCTACTAAGAACTTATATTAATAAACATAAAGGACCTGATTTTGCAGTTACAACATCACGCAGTGCTCCATGTAAGCAAGTTCCTACAGAAATACTTACACATTATCATCTGTGTCACTGTAACTTAGAGAGATAATATATCCTAACTCAAAGTAACTGCTTTTTCTAGATATGAAATAATGTTTTTAGTTACTAATGTAGCACATTTATCAGGATTAGACATGTGGCAACATTAAAACAAAGAAGTGCATTTAGCTCTGTTTTTGAAACAAAAAACATTCACATAATAAAATACTTGCTCTAGGATATGATTAGTTTTAAAAACGTGTTAGTGTAGTTCAGCTAGCTAACAGGAAAGTCATAGACAGCTGTAATCCTAAGGCTTTTTGATGGACAGTATTAGCTACTACTTCTCTCATATACTACACAAAGATTTGAAGTAGTCCACCCTGTGTTCCATGCACCCATGCCTACCAATTATCACTACTAAATTATATTTTAACAAACAGTAGATGTAGTAAATACAGGATTATTAAACACTGCAGGTTAAAAGGCGTTATTACAATTTTAAAAGATGTTAAAATATCTACTTTATTAGCTCAGTACTATAATGAAATATAAATTTAATAACATCTATTCTACATTTTATGCTAAGAAAGCATTAACTGGTTGCTACTTACCGCAGCAACATACATATGTTTTATAACAGCATTTTTCATTTCAGCGAGCTGTGTGTTAGACAAGATTTGGTCTGTTTCTGGCACAGCCGGGAAACAGTTCATTTGGACATCTTCAGTATTTTGTATTTCATTCTGTGCAGAGAAAAAAAATACCACTTTTTTAAAGTTTCAAAGCTAATTGTCTAACCCAGCCTTTATGTGCTGTCTTTCTGTACATTCTGTTGTAAACCCTTGTGTGCATATGCATGCTTAGATAAATATGTAAGTCCGAGGGTCTACATTATGTGCCAGATAAACAGCTGGACCACTGATGCTGTAGGAAGCTACAGCATAGAAATTATCAATGTAACCTTCCCCACAATTATTTTTCCTAACTGATTTTAGCTCTGGCCCAGTCCCTGTGGCTGAAACAACCCATTCCATAATGGATTCTCTCTTCGGACTTTCAAAGACCACACCTTTTCAATTAGTCAAAAATGTTGTAAGGATTTTTTTCAGACATTTTTTCATCAATTTGGCTATGACCATGCATTCATTTATAAAGTGGCCACTACAATTAATTCTTTTCAGTTCTTGCCTGTAAGCTTGAAGTAACTAGTAAGTTAAAATTTAAAAGTTTTTTGAAAAAAAAAAAAATTCTGTAAGTCCTCCTATTGTTTCCAGCTATTTCTTCAGCAGAGGGAATGAGAAAGTATTTCTCAAACTGGCTTCCAACTCATTTTGAAAAGACTCTTCGCAAAGCCACAACATAATTTTTCTTAGGAAAAAATAACTACAAAAAATGTTTAAAAGTTATTTCAGGATATGAGAACACTACATTTCAGTGAGAGTTTCAATGTATGCTTTTCATCAAAGATACACAGACCAAGAATAAAACACCATCTTTGTCTTAGGTAAATACACCCATAACTACAAAACCAGCCTCCTCCTGCAGCGTCATGAGCTAAGAACATAGACATAGGTGAAGAGTTCCCCTTGGTCACAGTACTGACAGCCATTTTTGAGGGGTAGCTTCTAATTCAAACACCTAAATCTGATGGGTGAATCAAGCAGGGGCAACATGGGAAATAACAGTAGGCAAAAAAAACACACTAGTGCATGCAATCATAAGATGCAAGCCATGCAGTTTACACTTTCAAGTTTTCACAATAAAGTTTCAAACACTGCACGTTTCATCCTGTTCTCAGATTTTCCCTTAAATGTGTAATGCACTCCAAAATTATTTGGTGTGCATAACTATACTATTAAACAAATACAGAGTTTGTTGCACACTACAGAAGAGTTAAGTGGTTTTGTTAAATTGAAAAGAGCTCTAAACAGCTTTTGATGAGCCAGGTATAAGCGAACTCTGATGCATTAACTACCCTGTACTTGTGGTACTTTCTTTACATTATTTTCAACATGCTTATAAAAATACCTACTGTCAAACAATTTACAGTACCATCATGGCAAAATTTTAAGAATTATAGCATGCATTCAACAAAACATTTAAAGTCTCTCTTTAAGTATGAGACTAGCTCCCTAAAATCATGTACATGCTTTAATATCTTGAACCAACACATCTGACACCTTGTAGGATCAAATCATCAATGGCAACCCCACAGAGTATTTTAACACTAGAGTTATGAGGTTGAGATTATAAGAACAGATACTGAAATACAAAGATGAAGCAAAGACTTGGTTAGAAAAAAAAAAATCAAAGCAGAAAGAGTCTGAACATCAGTGCAGTTCCACCAAAAAGAATATAATCCTGTTTTGCTGAATTCAACATCTGGACATGTATATGGGTTTTTAGGGGAGGAAGGGGAATATTTGTTTTTGGCTGAAGTAGCAGTCAAATAGCAGGACTACAAATTTTACAAAGCTGGAACGTTCTAATGAACTATGTGCCAAGTACTTCTGGGAGGGAGAGAAAAGAGCATGTCCATAACATTCTTTGAAAAAGCCTAATAGATTTGGACAAGTGTTCTGATTTGATTGCCTATGTTTTATTTTTTTGCTTTTAAGAGACTAGGAGTCTTGCAGTTTTCTGAGTTCTTTAGATGCATTTAAATAGAAAGCTAATGCTCTCTTGGCCTCTGAAGTGAGTTACTTTAATGAAATCTAAGAAAAAAAGATACGTGCAAGTTAATAGACTGGTTAAGATGGAAACCTGTTATCACACCTGGGAGGAATTCAGGGTGCATAGCAAGAAACATTTTATTCTCAGAGAGATCAATAAAAGGTGAAGTAGTCATAAAAACTTGACACTTGCTCCTCTATTAAAAGTAAATGTCTGTCTTAGCTGAAAGGTGTAATAGAGAATAGTTTCCCTGAACAAGTTCCATTAAGACAGTAAGCACTAGACCGAGATCCCACGTTGATGTGTGTTTTATTCAGGGTGTAAACATTAAGACCTTTCAACCCTCTTCTTACCCTTTTGTAACAACTTTACTGCTCATTAAAACAGGAAGATCTGAAGAATCCAAAAGGATTTTCAAATGAAGTAGGTTATTTCTAGTAAGTTTTAGCTCCTACTTGTTTGCAAAGGTACTATTTTCAACTAGCAGTTGACTGAAATCATCCCACGGTCTCAGGAACTACAAGACCAAAAGAATCTTCTAGGCCTTTGAGTAGTTACAGGTCAAAAACGCTAAGAAGTTCTGAACAGACAAATTTGAATCTAGTCTTTGCACATGGGAACATCATGATTTGAGTTTTAAGGATTTCCGTAAAGCGTTTGACACGGTCACTCACAACATCCTTCTCTCTAACTTGGGGAGACACAGATTTGACGGGTGGATACGGAACTGGCTAGATGGTCGCATCCAGATGATAGTGCTCTATGGCTCAATGTCCAGATGGACAAGTGGTGTCCCTCATGGGACCATACTGGGACCAGTGCTGTTTAGTATCTTCATCAATGACATAGACAGCAAGATCAAGTGCACCCTCAGTAAGCTTGCAGAGGACGCCAGGCTGAGTGGTGCAGTTGACATGCCAGAATGATGGGATGCCATCCAGAGGGACCTGGATGAGCTGGAAAGGTGGGCCTGTCTGAACCTCATGAGGTTCAACAAGGACAAGTGGAAGGTCCTGCACATGGGTTCGGGCAACCCCCGGTATCAGTACAGGCTGGGGGATGAAGGGATGGAGAGCAGCCCTGACGAGAAGGACTTGGGGCTACTGATGGACGAAAAGCTGGACATGGCCTGGCAGCGGCTGCTGGAAGGCCCGGAGGCCCA